TCATGACGGGCGGCGGTTGGAGCTCCTTGAGCAGATCCGGACTAGGCGCGAACCTCAGATTGAAGTCGGCCTAACTCTAGACTCGCCGGAGCCAGAGGAGGAGGAGGAGCATGACGCAACCATGGAGGGCGTATAGTCAGAGGAGGAGGAGGAGGAGGAGCAGGAGCAGGACACAACCATGGAGGGCGTGGAGTTGGAGGAGGAAGAGGACCAGAAGCAGGACACAACCATGAAGGGCGCTGAGCTAAAGGAAGCGGAATAGATGCAGGTGGGGCGGATCCGGCGCCTTCGGCTGCGGGCTTCGTCATGGCCAACGCACTGGCGGGGTTCGAGGTGGCCCAAGCGGAGGGGGCGGCAAAGCAGCAGGCCATCCTCGACTCCATCTAGTCGGCGGCGGAGGTGAAGGCTAACCGCCGCTTCCTTTGCCCGGTGGATGTGGAGCTAGACGAGATCTTCGCCGAGCTGTCCGGCGACGAGGAGTCGGAGGTGCAGGAGGCGGCCATCCAATGCACCAAGATGCAGGCCCGTCTGGCATTGCCGGCACGAATGGCCTCCACATCGTTGACGAACAGCAGGCTAGGTTTATCTACATAGCATGTACTTCCTCCGTTTCTAAATATAAGTCTTTTTAGAGATTCCAACAAATGACTACATACGAATCAAAAGCGGTGAATCTACACTCTAAAATATGTCTACATACATCCGTATGTTGTAATCCATTTGAAATGTCTAAAAAGACTTATATTTAAGACCGAAGGGAGTATTTACATAGCTTTTGTGTATTGCATAATCAATTATGGATTTGAGGAGTAAAGTTTACGTACGTGCCTGAGGACGCGCTGATGCGGTACCCACTGGCTGGCCAAACCGCCGTTGCTCGGCTCTGCGTGGTCGTAGACCTTGGTGTCGGAGAGCGCCCCCGCCACGGCCATGCGCCAGGCCGATGGCCATGGACGCAGATGTCGATCTCTTTCCTTCTCTGCTTGGCCTGATTAATATTTGGAAAAGGCGTGTTGATAACGTGTTTAGAAATGAAAGCGAATGGAATGAATAATGTTTCTTATTGATTGAAGATGGGTATTTATACCATCATTACAAGGCAGTTAGTTACAATGTCGATGACTACAACCGACTTAAACAACCAACTTAATCATTGATTATTAGGATTAAATTAATCATTAACATATCCCCGTAAACTAAAAGATTTAAGAAAATTGCTGACATGGTGCAGTGACGTGGAAGCCTGCATGTCAAGAGTAATGGGGCTGCTGATGTGGATAGTTGCATGTTTTTTCTCTTTTGTGAATGCGGTATGTTGAGATAGAAAATATAGTAAGGACGAGACTCTTAAGATGTGCAATGGCACATGCATCAAAACAGTGGCGAATCGATCAGCCAAGAACCATGAACTAGTTCAAGCCACACACCCTACAAGCACATCTGAATGGCAAGTGGGTTCACTGTTCGGAGTAATCAAGGTGAAGATGTATTTTTTTAAGGAAAGGCCTTTATGGCTAGCTTTATTAATTTAAAAAACGCTTACGTCGGTCGCTAGAAGTCTGGAAATAAAATTGGAAGGTGCGTCCAACCACAAGTTTGGTGGATCAACACGTCAGTTGTAAGCTAGCGAATGATCTACCATATTAGATTCACGGTTACAATGCTCTAATAAGACCTTTCCGAAGTCACGAAGAAGTGTTCGGAAGACGTTAAGAATAGGAGCAGCGATCGTTGAATGGCCAGTATTTTGTTGAATTGCTTCTACAGTGACTAAATTGTCCATCTGTACCAGGATAGAGTTGGCACCAATAGTACTGGCTAGTTTGAGTCGTCCCTCCATAAGTACGGCTGCTTCCGCTCACACTACATCTGCCACGTGCTCGAGTTTAGCCATTGCCGCGCCCACAAATATACCGCTGCTATCCATTAATTGCCCCCGCAAGCACCCGTATTATCCTCTTCTGAGAACGCAGCATCAACATTAAGAATAAGTTGGCTCAGCATTGGTTTTCTCCGTAGATTCTGACGAGGGGTCGCAGCAGGTTTGCTAGCTGCTCTCACAAAATTCGTGATGAATATGTAGATGCGGTGCGGATGCGGTACCCATCCATCCGTGGTGAAGGGGTAAAGTCTGAAATAAACCCCAAGGTTGTAGATGCCGACGCGAACAAACCCTCACCTCCAAATCCCTGAAGTTGGTACCCTGTATTTACAGTCCCGGTCAATCTAAACCCTGTATGAGTAAAATCTGGTTTGTTGCAATAGGAAGGCACGATCCGAACCGGGATTGATTTCTACTGTCACTTACAATATGGACCCACCTGTCATATGTAACTCCTCAACGGCGAGCACGGCCGCAGTGCCAGTGTCCATCGACAGATTGTTGGCACTGTCAAGATTAACCACGAACTACACCTTGATTATTATGAAAAGACAAGAAAAATATCGTGCATCACAAGGCCTGTTGCAATCCAGCCGTGTCCAGCGTCTTGCGTGCGTGTATCGAGAAGAGATCATCTAATCAACCAAACCAGGCTCGTGTACTAGTTCAGGAATACATCAAGCTATCCCTGTATGTGTGTGTCTTCCGGCGGAACTTTGATCCTCAGTCGGTGCTCGTCGACATTGTCGTGAATACAGAGAAGCTAGGTGGCTGTGGTCATCGTCCCCCTTGCCGCGCGTGCACACAGACCACGCCCACTGAGCTGCAGCGGGAGGCGGCCATGGCGAGATGCTCAAGCCAGTGCGGCGTCAGGAGCAGGGATAGCGGCGCTGCAGCGAGACGGGGTCTTTGACGTAGCTTGAGACCCATCCCAGAGCGCCGCCGTTGCTGCGACTCAGCACAGGCCTCCAGGGCCACGCGCCAGCCGCGATGCTCTAACGCGAGCGCACCCACCACGATGGCCGCATTCATCGGCCTCGGGAGCGGCGGCGCACCCCTGACGCCTCACCTCCGCGATTTGTGGCAGGAGCTCGTCGTGCTGCAGGAGCTTCTCGTCATGGACCGCGGATGGCTAAACAGGCCTTGTGAAGCCCACCGAGACACGACGTCAACGAAGCCGAGGGAGATGTCGAGCCTCGTCCGGTGATCCCTGACGGTGGCCTTCGTCCTCCTGATGGCAAACAACTCCTCTTGGTTGGCGTCCTAGCTCCTCGGTTGGCTTGGTTGTCATGCACATGGCTGCTATCTCCATCATCGCCTCCTTGCTCACCATATGGCTGCAGGCTCGCCCCGGCTGCATCTACCCCCGCCGATGCATCCTGCAGGCTGTAGCTCGTCAACTCGCCTCCACCTTCCCAGGAGCATCTACCCGATAGACATAGATGGATCTGTGAGGAAAGGGAACAGGAGGAAAGAGGTGGGAGCGAGGAAGAAGATGGCTTGACCCGCACAACCATGAGAAAAGCGAGTTCCCGGTCAAGTTGTGCGTTTCCAGTGTGCCAAACATATCTAGGGTCAGAATAGACCGGGATCAAAAAGATTAGGGTATCAATTTCAAGGATTTAAAGGTAGGGATTTATTCGTGTCGACCTCTACAACTTCAGGGTTTATTTTAGACTTCACTCGTGGTGAAGTGAAACACACTCGAGACTGAGTCACCGACCGACCCGAGCCGGTCGCCAGGCGCCGCGCCCAGCGCTGGCGCGAACCCCGTGCGGCGGTGCCCAGAGATGTTCGCCGCGGAGGGACCGGCGATGTTGACACGGACGCGCGGACGCTGCTGGAGTTCGCGCGTGTGTTCACGTGCTCGGACGGGAGAAGTGGGCGCGCATTTGCTGACACGGATGCCACGTCAGCTGCGCCTGTGCGCCTGTGCGCACCTCAACAAATCCACCCCTCTTCATGTAGCGCTGGCATGGGCAGCAGGCGTATACAGATCAACACGACATCACAAGCGGTCTATGAGATTCACGACCACAGACGTAGAGCACAGGAGATTCGGAAAACTGAGGTGAGGTGCTATGCTAGATGAATGTCCCAGCAAACACATTCAACATTTACATTCATGCAGGTGAGAATCGAATCCAGGGCTTACATCGGCGACTGCCATCTTCACTTTCTAGGATAAGCACTAGTACTAAAGGGCGTTTTACATTCAGGTAAATGCTGCCTTGCTTTGAACCTGATCCCCGTCAGGCTTGGCACCTTGGGACAACAGCCAAAAGACTAGTCCCACCGGCAGGAACATCACCAGCGAAACTGATACCATAGAACATTGAACAGAACAGTTCTGTCCCTGCTCACCGGCTTTTCCTCCTGGTTATAGGAGACTTCTGCTCCGAGATCATCTTTAACAGATTCACGAGCGACTGCAGCCTGTCCCACACGCTGATGCCATACAGAGTCTCGACGAGCAGCTGCTGGAATGCAAATCCATTCTCTGAGACGGGATACTGCAAAATTGTCATTTGTGACTATCAGAAACATGGTAACAAGCAAACCATGGCAGCCTGGCATTATGTGGGGAAACAGCAAACCTGAATGGGCTTGGGGATCATTGTTTTCACATATGGCCACCACCTGTCTTCTACGACTGCCTTTACAAGGCAGCAGGCCCGCAAGCCTTCCACGCCAGCGAATCTTCCAAACCCGCTGTCTTTAACACCACCAAAGGGCAAAGACTGCATGACAAAGAGATGTAAGCCTACTTGCACTGGCAGTGGTTAACATAAAAGAAACAAGAAAGAATTTATACCCGCAGTTCTATGATAAAAGTGTGCAAAATAGTACTCCCTCCGATCCATAATAAGTGTCGTGGTTTTAGTTCACGCCACTTATTATGGATTGGAGGGAGTACTACTATATCTGCAATATACATGTGTACTTCCAAGATATCTTCAGAATGCTTATATCTTAAGCTGTGTGACCATTATTATTATTACAAAAGAGAGAGAGCACAAACTAGATAGTGTTACCCACCTGACACATATAACTTGAAGCAAAGTCATTGATTGCTGCAACACCACAGTGTAGTTGAGATGCTATTTTGATGGCACGCTTCTGGTCGCCCGAAAAAACAGCACAGCCAAGACCATATTTAGAGTCATTTGCAAGTTGGATGACCTCTTCGTCAGAAGAGAATTTCATGATTGGTAGAATCGGCCCAAATGCCTGTTAATCAGCAGTAACAGTGGTAAGGCTAACAACATTGGCACAAAACGAAATCATACCTACATTGGCTACAGCCTACCTCTTCCTGCATAATTTTCATTGTGTGATCAACATTCACTAGAACAGTTGGGGGGAAGAATTGATCAACAGCATCTTCACCCAAATTCCCAAAGCTCCCTCTGCCAGCAATTTCGGCACCTTTGTCAAGAGCATCATTAACAAGATTCTGAAGTCTCTCAGAGTGCTCTATCATACAGATTGCACCCATATCATATCTGCCAGATAATGGGGGGCCCTAGGAAAAGCAAGATCAAAAATGAGAACGGAAATCATGACATAAATACTACAAGGAAAGATGACTACGAGCATGAACTGTTAAAATTATCTGGTGTCAACTGTTAAACAGAGAGTATGTTTAAACTGAGTAACATATGGTGAGGTGGAACTGAAATAGCAATAAACATGATGAAAACAAAAGTTAAATGTGAATGTAGAAGTTGGATGTGGACAGCGGAACAATACCAAGAGTAAAAAGTTAAATGTGAATGTAGAAGTTGGATGTGGACAGCGGAACAATACCAAAGCCTTTAGTCCCAAACAAGTTGGGGTAGGCTAGAGGTGAAACCCATAAGATCTCGCAACCAACTCATGGCTCGGGCACATGGATAGCAAGCTTCCACGCACCCCTGTCCATAGCTAGCTCTTTGGTGATACAATACCAAGAGTAACTACAATACAGGAAAATGTAAAATAGCAACAGAGGTGAATCTTGTGCTCAAATTCAGAACTCAAAAGGCGGGCAATTAATTTGCACTTGCGCATCTGGCTATTGACTGCAAAATACACCTGTTAAATTACAACAGATATTGATTTGATTATCTTAACTACGCGAGAAACAAAGCTATGATAGAATTCAGAACTCAAAAGAAATAAAAATTGCAATTGCACATCTGGCTATTGACTGCAAAATACAGTTGTTAACTTACAACAGATATTGATTTGATTATCTTCACTACGCGAGAAACAAAGGTAGGATAGATATCCTTGTGGACATAAAATCTTTCAGCACCGGCACAGTTTTGTCCACTAGATTGCAGTGCAGCTCTCACAGCAACTTGAACAACCTTCAAATGGGGAACGGCTATAGGTTAGTTGCTATTGTTGAAGAGAACAGGCTGGCATGACATACACAACATAAAGCTACACTTACATTGGGTAAATCCACATCTTCGCACACAATAAATGCATCTTTGCCACCAAGCTCAAGAGTTACAGGTATTAATGTTTCGGATGCTTTTTGCATAATCTGTGATAGGCACAATACTCAACACATTAAATAAAGTAACAGATAAAATAAGCAAATTAAGTGTATGCATGCAGCATCGATCATGGTATCTATAATGGCATAAATAATATTAGCGGCATGGGATTAAGAAATCACTACTTCAGATGCGAGTTATACCATCCTTCCAACACCAGGTGATCCAACAAATATTATTTTGTCCACTGAAGATACAAGAGCTTGACCCGTTTCCGCAAAACTAGAGGGGAGAAAAAAGAGGCCAGCAGGTAGGGCATGTCAGTAATTAGCCTGAACACCAAGAAAATGCAGAAGCTACATTCATACCCAGTTACTATGTGAACCAGATTATCTGGGGCACCAACAGCTAACAGAGCTGCTTGTATGATACGAGAATAAAAACAGCCAGACCAACTCGCATGCTCTGAAACCTGTAAATCAGCATTTCATTAAATAGAATAATGGATAACATTGTGGCAATTTGTTACTTAAATCAAGAAAATGAATGAAAAGGTAAAATTTCAGAGGGTATAAAGAAAATTAACTTTGCAGAGAAAAAGCAAATGAACATATGATTGTTTCCGTATGTTTGACTTGGCACAACAACAAAAGTTAATGACATGATCAGCACAAAATTTGTGAAGTATGCAATTCATTATTTTCATGAGAATTACTAGCTTCACCTTATGGAACACAAAATGGTAGCCATAATCGACTCAAAGTTGATACATAATAAATGCAACGCATGGAGATCATTGAATAACAAAAGTCAACAGGGTTGACCTAAGACTATGAGTATGTGAGAGTTTCCATGTCAATGGTTTGTAAGGCAATGTAGTCAGGACGAATTGGGGTATTTCAACCTTGTAAATCAGCATCCATGCTCTGACGGCTATACCCAGGTTACAAACAAGACCGTACTATGAGCAGACAGTAGATTGCCATAAGTAATAAGCTCCAGACTTCAAGCTAAGCTAAAGCATTTTTTCTAACAACGGAATCTCAATGAAAAATGTACAGGAACTGAAAGACTCTTTGTTCTGCTTGATCATAACCAAGAACGTTTACTCATATCAAATTATAGATGATATTCATCTGATTACTTACCTTTATAACTGCTGCATTACCAGAGAATACTGCAGCCAACATCGGATTGAAGACATTATGGAAAGGATAGTTCCATGATACAATTGCACCAATAACCCCAAGAGGGTGGAATTCAACTTTTGCACTTTTGTGCAGCATTGATCTCCCACAAGATCTGAACAGTATTAAAAGAAAATACATGCAGGCCATAAGAAAACAAAACAATACTTCACTACTGCAGCATAAAAAGAATTGGTTAAGACATTATTTTAGGTGTTATGAAATGAATGCCGTCGGCAACAGTGCAGCAGTGTACACTTGCTGTCTTTCTAGCTTATAGAATATTACTGTGACAAACAAACAAACAACAAACAACAACAAAGCCTTTAGTCCCAAACAAGTTGGGGTAGGCTAGAGGTGAAACCCATAAGATCTCGCAACCAACTCATGGCTCTGGCACATGGATAGCAAGCTTCCACGCACCCCTGTCCATAGCTAGCTCTTTGTCGATACTCCAATCCTCCAGGTCTCTCTTAACGGACTCCTCCCATGTCAAAATCGGTCGACCCCGCCCTCTCTTGACATTCTCCGCACGCTTTAGCCGTCCGCTATGCACTGGAGCTTCTGGAGGCCTGCGCTGAATATGCCCAAACCATCTCAAAGGATGTTGGACAAGCTTCTCCTCAATTGGTGCTACCCCAACTCTATCTCGTATATCATCATTCCGGACTCGATCCTTCCTCGTGTGGCCACACATCCATCTTCTGCACAAGAATTAAAAGGCCTATCTTCTGCACAAGAATTAACAGAAATTGCTAGCCCAATATCTGCAGTATGTTCAGGTCCTAGCGTGTAGTCATGTTTTAATCAAGAGCAGAACTCATTTTCTGTTCATCTAATTTCCAATGTTCACACACATTATGGTACTAAATAATGCTAAACAGCCCAGTGATGTTACATATCATAAGTGAACCATTGTGTAGTTCAGGTGTCAAACACAAGTCACACCTACTGTGCTTAACTTACCTCAACTTTTCCTCTTTATGATTCTATTTGTTTAACATACATGGTTAAATCAACATTAAACATTGGCATTGCATGGCTCTTAAATTATTGTATACATCACATTAGGATATTTCTGGTTACAAGAATCTAACCTGTACTCAGGTTTTAACCACTTCTCACCCTCATCCAGAAGCCAATGAATCTTCTCACAGGTGGTCATTATCTCGCCTAATGAAGCGTCAACCATAGTTTTTCCAGTGTCCCGAGATGATATCCTACACAAAAATAACAGTGTGGACCCTCAGACCTTCAATATGTTGGAAAGTGTGAGCAAATAAAACAGAAGGAGAGACCATTGATCAGGACTAAGTAAACCCTTCATCAAGGGTAGACACTATTTGGAAAAAGATCATTGGCATCTGGTACAATCAAAAGATAAGACTGTTTTTGAATTCCCAATTTGTCCTTACTCGCATATCAGATCCTGATGTTCAAGTATATACTTCAGAAGGATACGGAGAAACTGCCGCCTTTGTTTGAAGCTACTTTTTGCCCATACCTCTTGTGCTTTACGAGCTTGTGCAACGTGCTCCTGGACCTAATGAGTCAAAGAATAAGTGATACGAAATAGAAAGCCACATTAATGAAGGTCCAAACTATTGCAAAAACAGTACATAACAAGCTTTGCCTTCCCTTCAATCATGACTAAGGAAGGGTGAACCATTATTTCTAGTCAATAATGCAAAAGATAATCAGACCAGCCAACCATATAGTAGCATACATTGTACTTACGGAAAATGCAACAATAGCAAACCAGCAACATACCTCATCAGGAGTCAAAGCAGGGAAGTATCCCAAGTATTTCATAGTAGCTGGCTCGTAGCATCGAACCATATCAGTCTGAGCAGCTTTCCCCTTCCTTGGTACCTGCAGCAGAGCATAAACTCAGCATGATAAAGTTCAAATAAATGCGGCTCCTGCTGCTACAATGGGTCATTTTGAGCTTTTGGTACTTCAGCTGAAAGCAAATCACCGCTACTTGAAAAATATTTGTAGTGCTTCTCTAGAACCATTACAGACGTATACTGGCACCAAATCAGATTCTAGCCAATCAAGGGTGGATTGGTTTTCCCCTAGCATGTTGAACCCACTTCTTATTTTTCCCTTTTGGTTGTAACTCTGTTTCTTTCCGTTACGAAAATAGGGAAAATATCAGTAGGGAAACCCGGCTCGAAATAAAATATGCATTTCATTTAGAGGATATTGCTGTCTTACCGCATTGAACCATTTAGACCCTGAGAAGGTGAGACCTAACCACGTTAATTACATGTCCAAAGTAAAATCAGTTATGTTTGTAAATTATTTGCCCACCAAATTGTTATCAATGGCTTTGCTAAACTTTACTGACCGCATCTTCTAGTTGTCAAAACCACAACCACAGCGAACTGGAATTTTGGGAGACATGAAGCTATCCAACATAAATGACATTGAAATCAGTTTCCAGGAAACCATCAGCAAGCACGCATGCGCCAGATGCTTTCAGGCACAGCAGATCACCAAAACACACGCATCCCAATATTAACTTAGGTGGGAGGAGCCAGCATTCACGTTTGTGCATTGGATCATTATTACTGCATCAGATCTACTGGATGCCCTATGTACTCGGAGTTAGCCATATCAGCATGCTACAGCTTAATCCACTAGACCACCCTATACATGTCTCATACCAACGGCAAAATAATCACATACACCAATTAGTTATATTACTGTGTGGCGTTATTCTTGAAACCATGCAACAATGTGCAACCCCAGGTTACACCAAACCATGATCGGAGTGTCCAGAACAAGCAAAATTCAGTATTAAACTACTAGTAGCAGAATCGCTGGGTCACCCCCCCTCACTACATCAAATTGGCTGGCACCAAACCAAAACACACTGATCCTAGCGCAACAGATGAAGAAAACACACATCGCATAGGTTAACTTATTAGGTAGGATGAGACAGCATTCAGGTGTGTGCACTGGATCATTCATTCACCAAAATCATCAACAGAGAGGGAAATGCAGAGGGATAACTCACGTAGATGAAGCTGTCTTCCTTGTTCTGGTTGACCTCCTCCATCACTGCACCAAATCCGAACACGGTTAATAAACCCTGGTAAACCCCCTGACAATCCTCCACGGCCAATCACCAGCATACAAAACACAGTCGGGGAGGGCGGCGGCGTACCATCGGAGGCGTCGACCTCCATGGAGGGGACGGTGGGCGGGATGAGGAAGAGCAGGACGCGGCAGAGCGCGTAGGCGGCGGCGAGCACCAGCAGCGGCCACCAGAACGCCATGGCCGACGGGGCCCTCCCTGGCTAGGGCTCCGGCTCGCCTTCGGCTCCGGAGCGGCGGCGAGGGAGGGAGGGAGAGGGGCGGGGCGCGCTCAGGAGCGGCGGCGAGATGGCATCGGAGGAGGTGGGGAATGGAATCAGATCGGAGGGGAGGGAGGGGGGAGAGGTTTTTTGGAGCCTGGAACTGGGAGGCAGCAGTACTTTATTCGATTCGATGAGTGGAGCGGCGACAGTGGGGAGATGCTCCGCTGGTCTACTGCCACTGGCGTCCGACGGCGAGGAGAGCGGTGGCCGCCTCGTGCCCTCCGCCGTGCGCGGTTCGCGAACCGCACGCCGCGCGAGCCTATCCGTCCGAGTCCGACCGTGAGGGCGTGCACACGGGGAAAGGGGTTTTTTTTTTGCACAAAATGCTCACACGACTGAAATTCCATTGTAAAAAAAGTGATGTCCAATGTATCTTTTTTTAGGATATGTCCAATGTATCTTATAATTATTATTATACTAGCCAAGTGCCAACAAGAAATGTGTAATCAAACCCCTCGGGTTTGAACCATTTTCAGTACCGATCACACTTTGCCGAAAGGCGCTATATCGGCCATCTTAACTATTCTTCTATGCACATATGACACGCATGTTTATGCGTATTCTAGAGAGAAAGAAATCCTCCTCCACGCTGCTGCCTCAGCCCCCATCCTCTCTCTCGTTTGACGGCCTTATCGATGACAAGAGGAGAGGAAAATCGTCCCTTACATGCTTTCTTAGTTCTAATACATCCTTCTTTGTTTAGGTTTTTGATCCCTAGCGATATTGGTGTAGTGGTGGTGATGATGTTGTGTTGCGACAAGGTCTCTTCCTACCTTACAACGTTTGATCTGACATCGACGAAGAGCATGTGAGGATGTTTGGCTTTCTTGAAATCTTGGTAGTTGGTGTGTCAATCGAGGGAAACATTTGGTTGTCTCTTCTTGCGGCGATTTTGACCTGTTTTCGATTTATTCTATAGTATAGCCCATTTCCTCCATCCCCTGGGCTGGTGGTGAAGAATTGCAAGCCCGCTCTACGTGGGCAATGCTCCAACCAATATTCCTTCGCGATTTTTAGGTTGTGTTTCTAGCGGTGAGTGGCTATTGCAATCTTCAAAGCCTGGTATAGCAAGGGCGTTTGCAGATATCCCTTTCTTGTACCGCTAGTTCAGCGCAATTTTCAAACTCTGGCGGACAACATACAATCAAAGGAAGAAGGTGGTCAATATGGTTTTCGCCTTTTCGGTGTACTTTATCTGTTGGTCGGTTTGTGTCATGTTATCTTTCGGTTGTATCGGTTAGTGTTTTTCTTCATAATTATTAGATATAAGATATCCTTCGTGTGTATTTTATTAAAAAATGACCTGAAAAACTCAAGGATAAAGTCATTTTTGCCGTTCTAGCTTTTGACCATTTTACTTTTTCCACTTTAGCTTTTGACATTTCAAATTTGCCACTCCCGGTTTTTAGCAACACATCCCAATTGTCATTCTGTGTGGCAAATGCAATTTTTCAGAGGGTGTATTAATTTTTCTTATGCCACTCTGACAATGTGAGAATGGCAACAATGGAACGTCAAGAGCTAAAGTGGCAAAAGCAAAATGGTCAAAACATAGAGTAGCAAAAACAAACATTCCCAATAAAAAATACACCTTGTTAGTACCAGCGAAAAGTGAGTTATTTAATACAATTAAGTATATAACTAATATGGGTGATTAATAGTTGTTTAATACAATTACTTTGCACATATCACTAAAACACAATTATGAGAATATGAAAAAAAATTCTTGAATTTTTGAGACACATTCCACCAAGCACACATTTCTATATTATACACAACTGAAAAACAAATATACCAATTAGCATCTCTCAGTACGCCCAAGGGAGTGGCTACTCATTATTTCACATTTACCACCCACTGAAGGTAAAAAATCGAGTGTTTAACACCATCATTTTTTCTTCTGGAGGAAATTTGATATCGTCCTCCTGCGTGGTTTTCTAGATAAGCTCAAAAGCATGCAAGTGCTCCTAGGTAAACAAACCTTACACACAAATAACCGGAGACAAAATGAAACGCCATCCCTCCGATATTATCTCACATGTCTCGCTTTTCTTTAGAAAAAAAACTGCAGTTTACAATTGTGAAAAAAATTGGGTGACCTTAATTAACAACTACAAACTCTAAAAGTTAGCTAGAACACATCGTTAAACTATCAAACTCTTTCCCTTTAAAGATCTCTTCGGCTAGAACACTAAACCATGATCGGGGTGTCCAAAAAAACAGAAAATTTTAGAAAAGAAAAGGAAATCTTATTTTTGAAATATGAATACCCATTCTAGTTCTTTTGAATTTCTATTATTTTACTCTTTTGGATAGAAAAATTCGGGACTATGAGTCTAGATAGTAATCATCTTGGTCTTTATAGATATTTGTTTTGCCTTCAAATTATTCCTTTTAACAATTATTATGTCATTTTATCTATTGTTATGTAGTTAACCTTGATTTGAAATTTGTTGACCTTATTTTTTTATTGTTTCCATTATTAGTAAAGTTTCAATTGTTTTAGTAGTTGTTTCCAAATCCCACTCCCCTTGAGTATTGAGATTTAATCTCATCATGTTGAGTTATTTTCATCAAAACTTTCTGGAGAATTATTTTATCAATGTGCACACTATATGAGAGCACTATATGCGACATAAACACCCACATGTCAAGATGTGTAGCCATTTGCATGCGTGCACACACACATGTATCAAAAGTGACAAAGTCAACACCCGCCCGAGAGATAGATAGCCTATCACCAAAAAGACACTTTGCATTGAACAGATACACATGAAGTCAAGCTTAATGTTTTATATTTTGGGCTTACAATCATGAACGGAGCTAGTCTTGGACGCCCGAGGGTGTGGCTGGTGCCTAATCGTTTTCCCTGTTGGGGAACGTACTCCCTCCGGTCCTTTTTAGTTTGCATATAAAATTTGACTGAAGTCAAGCATCGTAAAGTTTGACCAGCTTTGTAGAAAAAATGTCAACATTCACAATCTGAAAATCAATACCATTAGATGTGTCATGACTTAAAGTTTCATATTATATTAACTTTAGCATGGCAGATGTTGATATTTTTTCATATAAATACGGTCAAACTTTGTGAAGTTTGACTTCAGAGAATTATAATATGTAGAGTAAAAAGGACCGGAGGGAGTAGTAATTTAAAAAAAATTCCTATGCACACGCAAGATCATGGTGATGCATAGCAACGAGAGGGGAGAGTGTCGTCTATGTACTCTCGTAGACCGTAAGCGAAAGTGTTATAACAACGCGGTTGATGTAGTCGTACGTCTTCACGATCGACCGATCCTCAGCACCGAACGTACGGCACCTCCGCGTTCAACACACTTTCAGCTCGGTGACGTCCCGCAAACTCACGATCCAGTAGAGCTTCCAGGAAGAGCTTCGTCAGCACGACGGCGTGGTGATGGTGATGATGATGCTACCGACGCAGGGCTTCGCCTAAGCACCGCTACGATATGACCGAGGTGGATTATGATGGAGGGGGCACTGCACACTGCTAAGAGATCAATGATCAATTGTTGTGTCTTGGGGTGCCCCCTGCCCCCGTATATAAAGGAGCTAGGGGGAGGCGGCCGGCCAGGAGGAGGGCGCGCCAAGGCGGGGTCCTACTCCCACCGGGAGTAGGACTCGTCCTTTCCTAGTAGGAGTAGGAGAAGGGAAAAGTAGGAGAGAGAGGGGAAGGAAAGGGGGCGCCGCCGCCTCCTTGTCCAATTCAGACTAGAGGGGGAGGGGGCGCGCGGCCTGCCCTGGGCGCCCCTCCTCTTGTCCACCAAGGCCCAATAGGCCCATTATACTCCCCGGGGGTTCCGGTAATCCCCCGGTACTCCGGTTGAAGGAAATATGCCCTAGAGGCAATAATAATGTTATTATTTTATTTCATTATATCATGATAAATGTTTCTTATTCATGCTAGAATTGTCTTATCCGGAAACATAATACTTGTGTGAATACATAGACAAACTGAAATGTCACTAGTATGCCTCTACTTGACTAGCTTGTTAATCAAAGATGGTTATGTTTCCTAACCGTAGACATGTGTTGTCATTTGATTAACGAGATCACATTATTAGGATAATGATGTGATTGACATGACCCATTCCATTAGCTTAGCACCCGATCGTTTAGTATGTTGCTATTACTTTCTTCATGACTTATACATGTTCCTATAACTATGAGATTATGCAACTCCCGTTTGCCGGAGGAACACTTTGTGTGCTACCAAACGTCACAACGTAACTGGGTGATTATAAAGGAGCTCTACAGGTGTCTCCAAAGGTAAATGTTGGGTTGGCGTATTTCGAGATTAGGATTTGTCACTCCGATTGTCGGAGAGGTATCTTTGGGCCCTCTCAGTAATGCACATCACATAAGCCTTGCAAGCATTGCAACTAATGAGTTAGTTACGAGATGATGTATTATGAAACGAGTAAAGAGACTTGCCGGTAACGAGATTGAACTAGGTATTGAGATACCGACGATCGAATCTCGGCCAAGTAACATACCGATGACAAAGGGAACAACGTATGTTGTTATGCGGTCTGACCGATAAAGATCTTCGTAGAATATGTGGGAGCCAATATGAGCATCCAGGTTCCGCTATTGGTTATTGACCGGAGACATGTGTCGGTCATGTCTACATTGTTCTCGAACCCGTAGGGTCCGCACGCTTAAGGTTTCGATGACAGTTATATTATGAGTTTATGAGTTTTGATGTACCGAAGCTAGTTCGGAGTCCCGGATGTGATCACGGACATGACGAGGAGTCTCGAAATGGTCGAGACATAAAGATTGATATATTGGACGGCTATATTCGG